TTTGCAAGGGGAAAACTTCTAATATTTCTTAGAACTTTTAGCTACAAGTGATGCTGGTTTGGAGATGAACCATTTGTAGCCTCTAAATCACAGATTTTTGGGGACACAGAGTTTGAGAGTTTGACTCTGTCAGTACTAGTTATATGAACATGGGAACAATTTACTGATTAACCTCTACCAGACTAATTGTCTTCATGTGTAATATGGAGGCTTTGCCAAGACCCTCAGTAATCTATGATGTTATGAAGGTGAAATCATGGGAGTCCTCTGTGGGATTCCTGCACGGGGAGAAGAATCTGTATTTCCCTTCCCTGGCTTCTTTTCCATTGAGCCCCTTGCTAAAGCCAAGCTGTTCTGAAAGGAGCCATCACTGTGCACAGAGGGAAGATATGAGATGGGAGTGTGAGTGGTTTGCAGCAGAGGGAGGCAGCTGCTTCTTCACCCCCCACCTGGCCTCTGGCTTTGTCTCCTGCTTGCTGCCCACCCCTGTCCTTTGTGCAGTCTGAGCACACAGAGAAAGGGCAGCCCAGCATCTGCAGAGGTGAACAGAGGGGGGCCTTTGAAAGACAAACACTAAGAATAAATCACATTCTAGGTTTCAAAGTCCTGGGAAAATTCTGCTGGGAGTAGAAAGGAGAGTATAAAAAATGAATCTGCCTGATTACTTTGCTGTGTGTCCTTATGCCGTTGACTATTGGTGGGTTTATTTTGGAGGACACATTTTGATCTCTTGACTTATCAGCATGCACACAAGTATGCTAACAGGCATAGCTTTATCTGTTTTTTTTTTCTTTTTCCACATTTTTTATTTTTTATAGTTGTACATATTAATGGGATTTGTTGTTACACATTCATCCATGCTCACAATACGACAATATAGTCTGTGGTTTTGAAGACAGTCTTAGCTCCGGTTTGGTCCTCCCTAGGGATAGGTGTACTTATTTCCACACTTGCTACACAGTGTAACCTGGGGCTCCAGACTCATTTTAAGGTGGTTGATTATATGTGGGTGGCCTCTTAGCTAAGGGCTGTTCTTTTCTCTGCTCAGAGCAGCAGCCTTCCCTGTTCTGCTCTGGGCTGAATCGTCCCGAAGCCCCTCCCAGCACACTTAAGTTCTGCAACAGAGTTTCAGGATACCTACCAGCATACCCTGAGCCATAGCCTACGGTCTGTTTATTCCCTTTTCTCCCTGCCAGCTCCCCAGGAGATGCAGCTAAGGTGCCTTGTTGTCCCCCAACTATACAGTTTTTATCTAGGAAAGGCAAGTTGTAGGCACAAGGCCATTCTGGGAGTTGGACAAATTTAGGGTCTGGTGGTCTGTGAGCCTGATTTGCCAGTTAATGGTTATGATTACAGGAGATGCAGATGAAACTGGCTGAGAAGCCAAGGATGACTGATTCATGTAATAAATGGGCAGGATAAATTCTCTAGGTGCTACTGGGAATTTAAGAGAAAGAAAAAAAAATCAACAAGCAAATACATTTCCATATCTGAGATGTGACATATTATAGACGAATTCAGGATCTTCTTCCTTTCTTTGTGATTGGTAAAACAGGCTTGGAGCTAAACCTATTCTGCTTCCACAAAGACAAAGACAGACGAAAACTGCATTGCAGATATTCTGAGTCTATGAGCTTGGGCTGAGGCAGGCGACTTATGGCTTTAGCAAACTGAAAAAGTGGCAGTTTTCTCATCTGGAAAATGAAAGGCTTGGACTGGATAATCTTCCCTTCAGCGCTAACATTCTTCGTTTCTTTGATTTTACATCAAAATGGTGTTTTCTTAATCAGTTCTCTGCTGCTTCCTTTGCGAGATCATTTTTCTTCCCCTTACAGAAGCAGGCGTGAGTTTCCCATCAGTTGCAGCATGGAGCTGCCTAAGCTGTGCTGCTAATCAGCAGGGAAAACACACCCACCCTGGTGTGCAGATCTGGAACCAGCTTCTTTCCAAGACAGAGAAAGCTGTCTTTGCAAGTTGCTCATTGAGGAAATTTGAGTATTAAAATGATTTAAATATTGCTTTTAATGTAATTCATTCATCATCAAAAGCAGGTTGCATACCATATAACTTAAGAACTCTGCTTGGAACATAGATTCAACATAAATAAATAAATAGAAATGTATAAGCAAGTGTAGATATGAATACACACACACACACACACACACACACACACACACACCCCTATATTGTATGCGTACCATCGTATGGAATCACACTTGAGGCTTAGACTGTCTATGAAACTATGAACTTAAGGACACACGATTTTGCCAGGGAAAGACCAGATCACTAAATGTCGCTTTCTTAGTGTCTAGAATCTTAAATTAGTGTCTTAGATAGAACTCAATTCTATTGGATGAATACAGATTTCTACATAAATTCAGATAATCCTGAGAGATTACATTTCAATCCTCAATCCATTGTTAGACTTAGTGTGAAATAAATGGAGTTCTTTTGAAAGGGTATATTGGGTAAGGGGACACAGGGGACAGAAAGAAAGCAAGATAGCCCTAGAATTCTGAATAGGATGCAAAAGGGATTAATAGTGTGTGTGTGTGTGTGTGTGTGTGTGTGTGTGTGTCTGTCTGTCTGTCTGTCTGTCTGTCTCTCAGTGTATATCTAGGTTAAAGGGTAGACAAACTTTGGGTAAGTTCATTCATCATGTAAATGGCCTCTTTAAAATCCTCCCCTGCCCAATAGAAAGCTAATAGTTTATTTTTACTAATTAAAAAAGTAATAAAGCAGGTACTAAGTTTAAAAGTGACAAAGGGGGCATTCAAGAATATACATCTATGTCCTTGTCCCCCAGTTCCCCAGTTCTTCAGTTCTTAGAAGCCACCATTATAAACACTTTCTTGTTCTAGTATTTAAAATATATTTGCATATGATAGCATAGTATATCTTCACATCTGTCCATTTCAGTGTACATAGAATTGTCCAATTATTTTTAATAGCTGTATAGTATTTAATTGTATGGATGCATTATATTTATTTAAACAGATTCCTATTGATGAACAATGAATTTCTTAAAAATTGTTTAACTCTTAGAAACAATGCTGTAGTATATGTATATTCTTATACATATGTCAGGTTGCCAGGATTCATGACTCTCAAAATCACCTTTCACAGAGCACAATGCAAATGATTTCTTGGAGTTGGACAGTACAGTGTGCTCCTTCAGGACATTTCACACAGGAGTGAATATGCTTGTAGGAAAAATATCCAAGAACAATACATATGTAGTATTTTTTTTTTTTTTTTTTTTGCTTAAATGAGAGAATTTTAATACCTCATCACCAGGTTTACTTTTAGTGTGGTCATCATCCTCTGAGTGCCCACTAGTTGCTTGTCATTTCTTGCAAGGGTTGGTGCCCAGAAGTAATCACACTATTCTAGAGTCATTCTGGCTTCATTTAATCAGGTAAGAACACCCCTTTTAGTTCTCTTGTTCTAGGCTGTGTACTTTAATTAATGTGGCACCTCCACCCCACTGTTGGCTTATTTGAGCTTACTGTCAACTCAAATCCCGAGGTCTTTTCTCAGATAAATCACCATTAAACCATATTCTGCTAACCTCCTACTTGTCCGTGGAATGTTTATAGCCTTAAAGCAAACTTTTGACTTATCCATGTTAAAATTTATTTTGTTGTTTCAGCCCTCCAGCCTCCACTAGGCTGTTGAGTTATCTTCACATCTTCATCTTGGCATCAATATTTCATCTTTCTCTACCTATTTCCCATTCCTCATTCATAGTGAGTTCAAATGCTGTGGCTGTAGGTATTGACATAGAAAGGTTTATAAAGCCATCATTTAACAATGATGTCAAGTATGGCAATTCTCGAAGACTTGCAGAAAAAAGACTCAGTGTATAAAAAATATTGGGTCTGAAGAATAAGAAAGGGAGGGAGGGAGAGAGAGAGGCAGAGGAAAAGAGAAAAAGTTTTAATAACTAATGGAAAAATTTTATTTAAGATCTCATTTCTAGAGCTGTTCTTCTCCTGATCTATTAATTTGTGTGCAGCTCTGTGGTCACAGTTGACTGTGCAACACATCTAGTTTTCCTGTTTATTTAGGCTGCCAGGAAGTTCAAAGGCAAATTTGCAATGCAGTTCTATTGCACAGAATATAGTCCCTACCTTATTCTTGAACTCTTCTTGTTTTTCTTTTCATCTATTTTCTCTATAACTTTTAAAAATCATGGATTGTGTAAACATTTGTGATTTACTTTAAATTCTTTGGAAAGAGATATTGTATAAGCCAAAGGTAGGCATGTAAAATCTCCATGTGACTTTCTAATTTTTAAAATTTTTTTCAGCATTAATGATGGAACCCAGAACTTGTACATGCTGATCAAGGACTCTATCCTCAGCCCTTGATGTGACAGATTTTTAAGAAATATTGAACACAATCACACTTTGGACAATAAGAAGTGTAGGAAAAAAGAATTGGGATGGAGTAAAATTATAAGATTATAAATTTATAGCTTTGAAATTGTCAAGATAAATCATTATTGGGAATTAAAATTACTGAAGAGTGGGCTGGAGTTGTGGCTCAGTAGTAGAGCTCTTGCCTAGCATGTATGAGGCACTGGGTTCAATTCTCAGCACCACATTAAAATAAATAAATAAATAAATAAATAAATAAATAAATAAATAAAATAAAGGTTCATCAACAATTAAAAAAAAATCCTGAAGAGTCTATGTATATCACTGTGTAAAATAAAATACAGTCACATAAACAATGGTCTTAAATTGAAATACTTTTGAAATTTAGGGAGGTACAGTAAATAAAGGAACAAGATAGTAGAAACAGTAGAGACAGTTCTTACTAGAACTGGAGAAAGGCTGACCCATTGAAGTACATGTAAATATGTTACTGAATGAAACACTGGTAGACTCTCTATCTACTGATCCAAAATCACTGAGTAATTTTTTGCCTTGATTTTATAAATATGAGAAACTCTAGGTCAAAAAGTTAAAACTGTCCTTCCTTTTCTCTTTCAGGTTATTGGTTGCCTAGTTATAAGTTGAAGTCATCCTGGGCAACAGGCCTGCACCTGTCTGTGCTGTTTGGTCATGTGGAATGTCTCTTGGTGCTATTGGACCACAATGCCACCATCAACTGTAGACCCAATGGAAAAACTCCTCTTCACGTGGCTTGTGAAATGGCCAACCTAGACTGCGTGAAGATCCTCTGCGACCGGGGAGCAAAGCTCAATAGCTACTCCCTAAGCGGACACACAGCTTTGCACTTCTGTACAACTCCGAGCTCCATTCTCTGTGCCAAGCAGTTGGTGTGGAGAGGTAAGCCTTTTTGGGAGGCTGGCATAACTGTCTGCTAACATACTGGGGGGCTTGAGACTTGATGATCCCCCTTTACTTTGGGCAGCAGTGTAGTAGGTATCTTCCTGCCTTAAGCTTAGCTTAAGAGCTGTAGGGTAAACATACACATGCATTTATGTAGTTCTTATGTAGCCAAGGTCCTGGAGTAATCACTTTGCCATCTTACTATTTATTAAGTGTAGGAAGTGCATCAATTTATTCCTTTCCTTAACAAATATTTATTCTGCTCCTACTATGCATGTAATATATTTTGGGAGAGGAATTGATGGAATTCGGAGATGGATTAGATGTGGGTGTTGGGGGGGTGAAGGAAAAGGAAGTTCCAAGTATCATCTCCAGGTCTCTGGTTTCAGAAAACGGGTAGATAGTAATGTTATTTTTTGAGATAGAGAAACTTGAGAAAGAAACATGTATGGCAGGATGATTTTTAAGGTAGATTTTTTAAAGTCTCGTTAATAGAGGTGTAATCAGCACACCGTAAAATTCACCTGATTTTGAGAAGCACCATTTTTGTAAGACCATCACCACACCTTAAAAAGGTCCTTGATTCCATTTTATTGTTTAAAAAATATTTTGTTTTAGTTGAACACAATACCTTTACTTTATTTTTATGTGGTGCTGAGGATTGAACCCAGCGCCCTGTAAGTTCTAGGCCAGTGGTCCACTGCTGAGCCACAACCCCAGCTCTGCCCTTTGTATTTATTCCTTCCACAACAACCACTGATCTGTCTTCTGTCCCTATATTCTTGCCTTTTTAGAATGTCCTAGAAGTAAAATCATACAATGTGTAGGCCTTTGGTATGGTTCCTCCCACTTATCATAATGGGTTTGAGATTCATCTACGTGGTGGATTGGACCAGTAAGTCAGACCTTTCACTCTCTGAGGAATATTCCAGGGTTAGCACGTAATGCAGTTTATTCACTCCCCAGTAGAGGCACATTTGGAATATTCCCACTTCATCAGTTTTGAAAAAATGCTGATATAGACATTTGTGTACAGATTCTTACCTGGACGTGTTTTCTTTTGAATAAATACCAAGGAGTCATATAGTAAATTCATACAAGATGGGCACACTGTTTTCGTAAGTGATTATACCATTTCGTATCTCCACCAGCAACGTGATAAAATTCCATATTTTCCTATCTTTGTCAAAGTTTGATGTTAGATATTAAAAAAAAATTTAATATCCTTATAAGTATGGATTGGTATCTCACTGTGGTTTTAATTTGAATTCCCTAATGACTAAGAATGTTAAGTATGTTTTCATGTATTTATTTGCTCACTATACATTCACTTTGGTGAATTACCTATTCACATCTTTTGCTCCTTTTTTTGGTTGTTGTTTTTAAGTAGGTTTGAGAGAGTCTTTACATACTCTGGTTACTATTCTTTTTTCAGGTATATAGTTTGCCCATATTTTAATTTATTTATTTTTGGCTTTACTTTTCATTTTCTTAGAAGTGTCTTTCAAAGAGTAGAAGTATTTAATTTTTTCATATCTTTATTTTATTTATTTATTTTTATGTGGTATTGAGGATCAAACCCAGGGCCTTGCATATGCTAAGCGAGCACTCTACCATTGAGCCACAACCCCAGCCTGAAGTATTTAATTTTGATAAAATTAATTCATTTTTTTCCTCTTATGATTTATGCCTTTTGTGTCCTCTGCCTATATCAGATAACATTTTCTCTTATGTTCTCTTCTAGAAGTTTTATAATTTTAGCTTTTTCTCCTAGGGCAAGAATTTATTTTGAGTTAATTTTTATAGATAGTATGAAATATGAATTGAAGTTCATCCTTTTTTTTTAACATGAATGTCCAATTGTTTCAGCACCACTTTTTAAAAACACTATTCTATCATTACTGAACTGCCTTGGTATCTTTATCAAAAATCAATTGGTCATAAATGTATAGGTTTATTTGTGGACTTTAGCCTATTCCATTGATCTATGTGTCTATTTTTTATAGTGCTCCACTGATTTGATTGCTGCAGCTTTATATTAAGTCAGGTAAAGTTCTCCTAGATTGGCTTTATACATGAGAAGTTTCAGATCTCTTTGAGACTTCAAAGTGATTAAGCCAAGAATACTTTTGATATAAAAGTATGGATTTCAAAAGAAAACTCTGGACTAAAGCTACAACTTTCAGAATTGTTGGCCTATAGATTACATTTGAAGCCAAGAAAATCAATAAAACCACCTGGATAAGCAGTATATATAGAGAAAAGAGAAACTAGGGCAAAGCCCTGTGAATTTTAACTTTCAGTCTTGAGAAGGATAGGGAGGAGCCATCAGAGTATGACTCATAAGAGAAGTTGGAGAAACCTAAAACTGTCTTTTTGACAACAGAGACTACAAAAGAGGTAGGTTCTGGAAGCAGGGAGTATGGCCATCAAAGTGTAATGAGATGTTCCCTAAACTGGACGGGACTTGTCACTGATAAAAACAATTTTGGTGAATTGGTATAGAAGCCAGATGAGAACAGTGTGAAAGGGGGTTTGATAAGAGATGGTATATGTATACAATTGCTAAAAAAATTTTGTCTGCAAAAGTGAGCATAAATACAGTGGTTGTTGGAGAACTCTGGGATAATACAGAATAGTACCTACAGTTGGAGATAAAAGGGAATGCATGTATATCAAGGGGAAGGACTCAAAGAAAGAAAACAGTTCAGGACTGGTGTTGTGGCTCAGTGGTGGAGCACACTAGCATGTGTGAGGCACTGGGTTTGAGTGTCAGCACCACATATAAATAAATAAAGTCCATTGACAACTAAAAAAAAAAAAAACAAAAAACAAAAAAAGCCCAGCCTCTCCTTCTTGCCTACTCTAGGAGGAGGGGTCTGGCACAGAGACACAGACAAGACCCATTCCACTTTTCAATTTATTCATTTCTTTTTAGATTTAGTTTCCATTTTTATTCATATTTTCATTAGTTAAAATTTTTATTTTTTAGATTTTTAGAAGAATATATATTTTTAGAAATTATATACTTGCTCAATGATTCACTTTAAAAAAAAACTTTTGTGGAGAGAACATTCAAAAGGTACCTTCAGCGACATTTAAGTGCATAACCTCGTGTTATTCACTACAGTCGCATCAAAGTGTCCATCAAAGCTCCAAACCTACTCATTGTGCAGTACTGAAGCTTTCCTAACTTTACATGCTGCTGACTTTTCATGTGATTTCCTCCAGTACAAAGGAAACAGTGGCCAGTCCTGGTACTCCTCGGAGACTTCCCCTTTCCCATCTCTTCTATCCCTGACAACCTGGGAGGAGACTCCCTAGAGATCAGAAATAGAGCTGTGTGGGGAACTCAACTCTACTCCCTCGAGGCTGACTCTAAAGAATTAGGCTCATAGCAATCAGAGAGAAAAGGTAAGTCCATGAAAGATGGACTTGCTCTTTAGGGCCCTGGCATCAAAGGCTGAATCCAAGAAGAAAAAAAAGAAAAATTAGAAAACAAAAGTGTTCAACTTCTGTGTGTCAAACATCTTAAAAGGCAGTCATAAAACTAAGACTATATGAAAAAGGGCTGATATCCTTAACACATAAAAATAATCTTAAAACAAGCCAACAAAGACAAAAAAAGAAAAAAGAAAGAAAGAAAAAATTAGAAAAGAAGATGAAAAAAGCAAAAAAAAAAAAAAAAGTCACATAAATAAGAACTAATGATATGGATGTAACATAATGGTCACTTTCACTGGTAATCAGTAAAATACCATGGAAAGTAACACGTGGAGGACAAGAAGCTTCAGAATAATGCACTTATGGTATATTTTATATTTTTGTGTTAGAAGTATTTATTGGTTAAGGAAATCGTTTAAAATACACCACAATTTAAGCTGGTGTGGTGGTGCATGCTTGTGATCCTAGCCGCTGGGGAAGCTGAGGCAGGAGGATTGTAAATTCAAAGCCAGCCTCAGCAACTTAGCAAGTCCCTTTTTCAAAATTAAAAAATACATAAACAAAAAGGACTGGGGATGTGGTTTAGTGATTAAGTGCCCTTGGGTCCAATCCCCAACATTAAAATAATAATTAAAAATAACCGAGGGCGTTGGCACATGCCTGCAATCCCAATGGCTTGGGAGGCTGAGGCAGGAGGATTGAGTTCAAAGCCAGCCTCAGCAAAAGGGAAGCCCTAATTAAGTCAGTGAGACCCTGTCTCTAAATAAAATACAAAAGAGGGCTGGAGATGTGGCTCAGTGGTGGAGTGCCCCTGAGTTTAATCCCTGGTACCTCCCCCCATTGAATAAATAAAACAAATTAATAAAATAAAAATAAAAGCATGGTAAATAGGAGTTAATAAGAAAATAAAATTGTGCATTAGGCCATTGGGAAAGTCTCTCCCACTTTGTGGGTGGATGAATAGGAGAAGGTAGGTCTTCTGGTCTGGAGACTCTGGAAGCCTGAGCCCCTTGCTTTGCTGCTGTCTTGGTATTTTTATGTCCTCAGCCTTTTCGACAATATAAGTGTCTTACTGACCTGGGAGTAGCTCCCGGAGCCCTGAGTGTGTGGATGGGACCCACTGTCATCTAATTAATGGAAACTGTTATGTTCACAGTTAACGAAATGCTGCTCTTGGTCAGTTTCTTTCCTCCCTGTCTCTGGGGCCACAGCGGAAGGCTGAATTCTCAATCTCTGGCTCATGCGGTAAGCATTTGTGGGGAGAAGTCACATACATCACTTGGTGGCTGGACAGAGCGAATTGAGACGGCACACAGACAAGAAAAATAAGTCAGGCTAACATTAAACTCGGGACCAGGGAAGTCCATTAGGGGGAGAACCAATGCCATGGCAACTGAAAACCGATGTAATTTCATTTGCTATTTAATGGGCTCTTTGTGGAAAAGGCTAATTGTGTCCAAAAAATTGCATGCAATTTTCTCTTAAAGGATTTTCCCCTGTTTTTCAGTGTTGCACGGCTCGCTTTGTCCTCGTGCTGGATTTTTGTCTGCTAT